CTCACTATGTAGTCCAGGCTGGTCTCGAACTCACAGCAATCCTCCTGCCTCAGCCTCCCGAGTGCTGGGATTACAGGTGTGAGCCACCACATCCAGCTTGGAAGCAGTTTTAACACTTGCCCTTATAAAATCACAATGTAACTGAAAATACTTTGCCAAATACTTATAACTTGTATAAAAATTCCACTCCTCCAAACTGGCCATGTCAAGACGAAAACAGGTAACTCCTGAAATATGAAGTGGCCTTACTCCCTAATGTTAAACAGAAAAACCACATGGGAAATACAGAAATTGAAATACAAGTAACACAAGCCTGCCACAAATTGTAAACAAAGAGAACTCTCTATGCGACAGCACAGATGACCAATGGGCTGTGTACATTTTAGAATGGGCCAGACAAACTCTCCTCCTACTTGGTCTCCCTGAGTATCCGATGTCCACGGTGGCAAGCCATCTCTCAGTGGTTGCATTATTAACATGCTACCCCTGTGACCCTTCACTTAATGTGTCAAGCTCAGCAATTGCTTTGTCAAAAGCCATCTTTGCAAGAGAACAGGCTTTCTCTGGGAAGTTGAGAATCTTGTAACAGAGAAGTTACAGACCCGATCTGATAGGGTACACTGTTTGCATTTCGTTTTTGGTGATCCCAAAAGCTTCCTGTTGTGACTGATCCACAATCCTTTTCTTGTCCTCACTGGCAGCAACCTCAGTAATGGTGTGGTTTCTTTTCATTTTCAAATGAGGACACTGCTCTCACCCTGTGAAGCACTGGGAATCAAGAACTTTTCCAAAAGACAGTACATCATTGCAGACATTTCTTAGCTGTCTCCATTTTCTCTGCATCCTCCAGACATCTGCTACTTTTTCTCAGCACCTTCTGACTTTTGCTCCATACCGGAAGCAACGCTCCAAGATGACCTACAGATTCCCAGCATTTTCATAAGCAATGGAGAGAAGGTTCCTCTTCTCATTAGATAATTTAGCGCCTTGCCCCGGCAGAGGCTTTGGGTTTGCTGCCAGGTCATCGTCTCACTCAGCCTGCTCAGCCAGTTTGGCCTTCTGCAGCAGCCCCTTCTTTATCCACTGCTGGCTACTCTGTAACCCAGTGGGCGGCAGTGCCCAGGCTGACACTCTGTCCCCGCGTCTCTCTGCTCACAGGCTACTCCGACTATTGTCAGTAATAGTGTAATGTATACTTGAAAACTGCTAAGAGTAGATTTTTAAGTGTTCTCACATACACACAAAAAAAGATAAACATGTGAGGTAATCTATATATTAACTGGTTGACTTAGTCTTCTAGAATGTATATTTCAAAATGTCATGTTGTATACCATGTACACGATTTTTATTCAATTAACATAATGAATCAGGGCTAGGGAGGGAGCTCAATGGCAGAGCACTTCACCAGCATGTCCAAGAATCAGTACCACAAGACATAAACAAACAAACAGGTAACTTCCTAAAGGAGTTAAAAGGGTTTGAGTATGTGACAGGTGATATTCCATCTGGAGCTAAGACCCCTGAGACATTCTGGAGAGGCTGGTGAGGTCACACAGCGGGGCAAGTTGAAAGCAGATGGAGTGACATGTGCTTTCAATCTGACAGACAGAGGTGGAACAAAGAGCTTGAAATGTGCTCCTTACTCAGGAAGTGGGTTGAGGAACAGGATGGGGAAGGGGAGGGGAGTCCGTTTGGGTTGCACCATACGCTCATGTGAGAACGTTGGTCTAAATTATTTGTCATCACACACAACTCTGAGACTAACGTACAGAGTTCCTCAGAGGGTGAGCATATTATCTACATGAAAATTGCTATTTTCTCTAAGCATTTTATTCAGTCTTTTAAGGAAAAAGTATCATTCAGAAAATGTCAGTTATCCAATCAGCATCTATTTCAATATATTTTTATCATTTTGACAATACAAAGACACTCATTCTTTCGCTCTGCCGAAGTGAAGAAAGAGCAGGACAGTTTTATGCAGGACATGGGACCCCTCTCCCTCAAGAGAAGGAAAGAAGCATTACCTGGAGTCAGAAGAGCTTTTCCACACACATCCCCAACTGCGTAGATGCCTTTGACACTGGTGTTCTGGAATTTATCTACTATGATATGACCTTTCTCGTCAGTTTGAATTCCCTAAAATTACGAAGAGACATCACATGAATACTGGACCCCCTGACTGAAACGGGCCGATCAAACCTTTCGATCTGCCTCATCTCACATCGGGCACTCACTGGCCTGAACCTCCAAGAAACCACAAGATTCAACAGCAGCATGAGAAACATTTAAAGCTGGTAATTTTTTCATCCTTTGCTTACTGTAAAAGGTGAAATATTTTACACAGTTTTGAGTGAGGAGTTTTTTAGTAAGATTTGATACTGCAATGTACAATTCAACTGGTTGGGTAAACATGAAAAGGGCCTGCTCAATTATCAGGTGGACTACTTGCTAGGGGTGCGCCTAAGATGTGTTTTCAACTTTTTCCATTTAGTGCTCTGCCTTCGGCAGGCTACTGCATACCTCAGAGATTCAGCCTCACCAACAGCACGTTCCTTTGAAGCGTATTCTTTTGTTATTTTTAAAAACTCAAATAAATTTTGCACTCTATCATAAAACATATTGTTTCCCTAACCATTTTGCCCAATCTGTTGAGTGAGCTTTGCTCTAAGTTGTGTTGTGCTTATCTTGCAACTCTGCAGATCCCAAGCAGCTGTACTCCAGTGTGACGAGCAGAGGCAAGCGGGAGCAGGAAGGATGGCGGATCATCCTGAGAAGCTCGGCAGCTAAGAGCACAACCTTTGGGGCTGGGGGTGTGGTCAGGCAGACGGATGGAGACCCCAGCTTCGCCACTTACTTTGCATGAGACTTTGTATAACCACCTATTTATCAACAAATATGTGAACTTTCATTGCAGATGATGGTTTAACCATCGTCATGACTCGATCCCTGGTACCACACACACACACCCAAGTCATGAAAAGAGAGTGATGTTACACAGACATTTCTCTACCTCCACAGATGTTACAGTCGATATGTGTCCTGTTATTTTTGTATTCCTGGTTTCCTCATTTTTATGTCTCAAACAGTCATAGGAAAGATTAAAATTAAAATGGATTAGTAATACACTGATAAGGCCTAGCAAGGAGTAATCAGTCATTCTGCATTATATGTAACTTAGTACTGGTTGAGATCCTTTTTTTTTTTTTTTTTTTGGCCTCTTTTTTTT